TTCGGCTGGCGGTTGAACTGACAGGCGATCGGAGAGCTCCGCTTCGAAGGCCGATTTGTATGAATCACTGACACTGTATCGCGGATATCCGTTGTCGATGGCTTTTTTCGGTTTGCCAGGCGTAAGGAGAACTTGACTCGTAACAAGGCGTGGTCTGTGTCCACAGCTGTTGACCAGTAAGAGCGGCAGTCTTGATATGATCCCCTCCAGCGGTAACTGATGGCGATGTGGTCGATTTGGGTCCAGCGCAGTGAAGAGGTTGGCGGTTTCCATGTAAGTCGATGGCGTTTCTTGTGCGAGAAGTTCGTGTTTGACAGGAACAATCCGTGGTCCGTGCAGAGTTGAAGTAGGCGGTCTCCGTTGTCCGTCCGGTTGGCTGGGATTGCGTGTGGTCCGCCAAGAAGCCTTTCTGATTCGTCCAGGGATCCCACTTGAGCATTGAAGTCTCCAGCGACTACCACGATGTCGGTTGACCGAGCACTTTGGAGCAGTTGTGGGAGATCCTTGTAGAATTCATCCTTGATTTCCGGTGTACTGCAATCGGTCGGTGCATACACCGATACGACGAATAAGCACCGACGCTTCATTCTGTAGCTGTCGGCCCGTGCCGAACCGTTGAAACGTACAGCGCACAATCGGCTGTTGACTGGAATCCAGTCACGGAGGGTGAAGCGTGAAGTCGAGGTTGGGTTAGGAGAACGCAGTGAAATGATTGAAGTAGGGTCTTGTATGCGTGTTTCGGAGGCACAGCATACATCTAAATTGAAAGTCTCAAGGGTTCTAGCCAAGGCAGCTTGCTGACCAATCTGATAGTGTGCGGACATTGAACGCGGCTAAGTGAAAAGAGAATTTCGGCTTCAAAACTCCTGTAACTGTAACTGATTGTTTGGACTTGTTGGTAAAGCGCTCAGTGATATTCGATGAGTGGCGTAAACAGCAAGCGTCTGGGATTATTCGGGACTAAGAGGAAGAACGAGATAAATCGGGAAGAGGTTTTTCCAAATGGGTGTCTAAGACTTTAGGGTACTGCATCCTTCGCGGTTGCCCACACCGACGAAGGGGTTTTTCTTTGGGAACCCTAACCGGAGCCTTCAACTCAAAAGTATGGCTGTGGGGCTTAAATCCAACGCGGGAGCGTGAACGAAGCACCTGTGTGGGACACTCTGGAGACCTGTCACGCAAGGCCTTTGAATTTGGATTAGTTGTGTTGTTCGCTGGTGCATTGATTATCCGTCCGCTTTTCGGGATCAGCCCTTAGCCTCATGCACCCAATGAGACAAGAGGAACGTGGACGGGACAGCACCTTATTGGCTGGGGCTGCCCAGCTTGGGCGGGCGGGTGCGAAGACTTCTCCCACCGTCGAGAGGAGGCCCCAGGTACCCCACACCTACGTCCATCTAGCGGGGTTTTTTACCGGTAAACTGCCCCTCACCGTGTTTATTTGCTGGAGTGGACTCTCCAGGTGCGGTGTGGATAGATGGAGGAGACCAGGAGGTGCCCAAGCAGCTGGCCTTGTGAGACTGAGCTTCGTCTGGCCTTTACCCGT